GTACATACGTTTGAATCAATAAGTAACGTGCGTGCTAAGGTAATTTGGTATACAAGTATACGGGTATATTGTACAGTACTCGAAAAAATATTTTTTTAAAATTAAAGAATTGAAAAATTTTTTATATTTGCGAAATTTAGTTTTTTTAATGTCTATATAATCTATTAGTCGTCTATTTTATTAATTTAAGTAGTAGTTATATAAATTATATATAACCAAATTACAATTACATAGTTACAAATTATAAGAATATAACTCTTTATATATACAACTCTATATATTTTCTATTTAAGATTTTTTTTTGTTTAATTCTATTTCTGCAAATTTTCTATAATAAATAAATGATTTATATTCATCTTTTTCAACACCGATTCCATTAAGATAACAATATCCGACCATATTCGTTCCACCATTGTACCCCATCTTGGCAGATTTTTGAAAATAAATAAACGCTTTGTGTTCATCCTTTTCGACTCCAATTCCATAACGATAACAATGTCCAACATTATATGTTCCCCTGTAGTCTCCCATATCGGCAGATTTTTGATAATGAACGAATGCTTTATGTTCATCCTTTTCAACCCATTTACCATAATAATAACAACTTGCAAGAATGAGTTGAATCGTTGAATTGATTTTATCATTTAAACAAAAATTGACAATATGATCGGGATTTTGTTTCTTATTTATTAGAAATTGTGCTATTGTATTAAGAACTGAACGAGAATATTTTCCTTTCAATGTTTCTTCATTATATAAATTGCACATTTCTTTAATAATTTCATATAATTTGTTATCTTCTAAATATAATTGAGTAACTTCGTCATTTATTCGAGTAAAATTTGATGAGCTGTCAAGCTTTTCGGATTGTTTTACAAACAGATTATTATAAATTGGCATTTTTGTAGCAGGAAAATATGTTTACATATTCGATATTGGAGGCGTCAAATTTATTGAATTTTTGAAGGTTTGTATTACATTACACAGCATTAATTTCATTACATCTAATTTAACGGTTATTGGACAATGCATATGTTGTGAATGGCACCGATGTTGTGAAAGGTAAATTGCCACTCCGGATGTTGTGAAAGTGGTAAATTGGCACCGGAGATTTCTGCGGTCCCCGAGGTAGTACAATCCCGAAAATATAACTTTGATACCATTGTGCTATTCTATTTATAAAATTAGATCTAGGTCACGATCTAACTTCTATTTCCGGTGTCATTGATTTTTAAACGATAGACAATAATTTATTTGAATATAGTATTTGTTTGCATTTTCTAGAAAAAAAAATCTTGTAAGCCATAATCATTCTCTTGATTAGCATTAGAGATAACGATAATTCGCCCAGTCCAATCCATAAGAAGTCTGGTCTTGAACTAATCTAAAAACAAGCTCAAGCCTCATTAGAAACCTGTCCGACCTTAGTGTTTTATCTAAATTTGAAACATTGTTAGCGTTAGGGCGTAAAAAAAATCATATTTGATTTAAACCCACCAATCGAAGTATGTAATAATTATAATGATTATTCTTTTGATTGTAATTTGAGCAAGAATGCAATCTTGTGATTGGTTAGTTTTCCGAACTAGCCATAATAAGTCTGGTCCAGATCATCCCTAGCCAGGTATATAATTGGTAATTTTAAATGTTCTAGAAACGATCCATTTTTTTAATTTGCTAACTTTAATATGTGAAGGTAAACCCTACATGCTAAAAAAAAAAAAAAATTTTTTTTGTGTATATGAATAATTTATTAATAGAAGCACAGTATTTGCACCCTTAATTAATTTATTATCTGTGTTGATTTGGTAAATAAATAGTCTCTTATTCAAATCGATTTAACCAATAAGTGTAACAATAATTATGTTTTTAATCGAATATTTGAAATATCGATTAATATTAATACGTAATTTCTTATTTATTTATTGCGGTCATAGATTGTGTCTTCTTGCAGATTATCAGAAAAAAAAAATCAGTTGATTTCTGATTCCTGATTCCTGATTCCTGATTATTCGGAAAAATAAATATACAATCTTAACTATGCACCTGTAAAAATGGTGAGAAACTTAATTAATTAATTAATGGTACAGTCCTTTGTGCTAAAGTAGTCGGGTTGGTATGAATCTAGAATTTGGGATTTAGAATACCCTATAGATTAGATAGTAGATTAGATAATAGATTAGATCAAAGAGCATGGAGTATACATCGATATAGAGCATAGAGCAATAAAATTGCGAGGTAAGTAGATCTGACCAAAAAAGAGTAAACCTTGCGAGTGTTGAAATTTTCGAGCAAAAATCAGGAGTTTACCATCGATGGTTTAAAATTACTGAATAGAAATTCAAGAATATCTATTAAAGTAGAGAGCTGAACTATCGCTATTACCTATCTAGATTAAGAATTTGTGCCACTTTCCGATTTTTATACGATGTTAAAAAAATAATGAATATATGACATAACCGAATTTTTTAAATTTATTATAAAATCAAAACATCTTCACATTAAAATAACTTTTTACTTAAAAAGCTTTTATTGCTTTTTTTTAAATTAAAATTTAATTATATATAAAAAACAATTTTAATTAAAAAATTATTAAACTTTTATTGAAAGCAATTATTTTGTGATCTTCTGTACAAATTCGATATTTATACCCTCTAAATTAATTTTTTAAAATTTTGAGTCGAAGCATATACAACTTCAAACATTGATTATTTAAGGACTCCGTTTAATTCCATCTCTGCACATTTTCGATAATAAATAAATGCCTTATATTCATCTTTTTCGATTCCAATTCCATTGAGATAACAAAATCCAACATTATAAGTCCCATTTGCGTCACCCATTTCCGCTGATTTTTGATAATAAATGAATGCTTTATTTTCATTCCTTCCAACACCAATTCCATTTTCATAACAATATCCAACCATAAATGTTCCATCAGTATGACCCATTTCAGCAGATTTTTGTAAATAAATGAATGCCTTGTGTTCATCATTTTCAACTCCAATTCCATTAAGATAACAATATCCAATCATATATGTTCCTCTATCGTGTTCTAACTCGGCAGATTTTTGATAATAAATGAATGCCTTATGTTTATCTATTTCAACCCATTTACCATAATAATAACAACTTGCAAGAATGAATTGAACTGTAGGATTGTTTTGATCATTTAAACAAAAATTGACAATACGATCTGGAATTTGTTTCTTCTTTATTAGAAATTGACCTATTTTATTAAGAATTGAATGGGAATATTCGCCTTTCAATTTTTCTTCATTATATATATTACACATTTCTTTAACTATTTCATTAAGAAAATCTTGTAACTTGTTATCTTCTAAATATAATTGGGTAACATCATTATTTATTTGAGTAAAATCATTGTTGATTTTTTCTGATTGCTTTACAAGTAGGTTATTACAACTTGTCATTTTTTCGCAATAATATGCTTCGTACGTATATATCGATATTGAGGTATCAATTTATTAAATTTTTGTGTGTTACATCGTACAGCATTCATTTTATTAACATCCTAATTTATTGGCAGTTTTAAAATACGTACGTACGTAGATGGGTTAGTCGGCGAAAAAATGTCGTGGTCCCGTGATCGCTGACCAGTCTAACTAGTCGAATAATATTAATATCAGATATGTATGGATAATCATAATAATGATTATTACATCACACATTATTAGACTATTTTGACTGGTCAACGATCACGGGACCGCGACATGATTAACCCACTATGAACGTACGTACGTACGTACGTAATTGCACCTATATTTATTTATGGGGAATTTACAAATAAGTGCCCAAAAAAGTAAAATAATTACATGTAAGTGCCCTATTTTTAGAAAAATTTACTATATCTTATGATACAGTGAACGAAATTTAATGGTTTGGATACCATTCGAATCGTCTCGTCAAGACGGATCGAATGGTACTAAAATTGCTAAATTTAAATTACTGAATAACGAGATATCACGATTTAAACAGATTTTAGAAAATGTTGAATAACTAGCAATCCAGTAATTTAAATTTAGCAATTTTGCTACCATCCGATCTGTCTTTACGAGACGATTCGAATGGTATCCAAACCATTAAATTTCGTTCACTGTATCATGAGATATAATGAAATTTTCTAAAATAGGACACTTATATGTAATTATTTTACCATTTTGGGCACTTATTTGTAAATTCCCCCTTATTTATTTATAATTGTTATACGTATTAACTAGTTGGTTCCGGACATACAATGCACCTATTAAATAGTAAAGATCAAACAACTTTTTAAAAAATTTTCGACCTAAGGTATTTATGATAGAGATGAGTTATAGTTCGAGTCAAATCAAGTCGACTTGATTTAAGCGAAGCATTTTTTGAAGTATTATCTAAATTGCAGTCGATACAATCAGTTTAGTTGAGTTTTATTTTCTGAAGTTATTAGTCACGCAAGTCAAATTAAATCTTATTTTTAATTAGTATTATAGTTACGAAAATTTTTATAATACAGTAAATTCTATTCAGAAACTACTGTTCTTGTCATCATTTTAGATTTATGAGTTATTTCAATATCTCTTCGCGTTTAGTTTATAATCGTGGATTACAATATTGTGTAGAATTCTGATTTTAACAGCTTTATATGAATATTTTTGGTGGTTAAATACCGGTATTTATGAATTTGACTTCGAATACTGATGAAATGAATAAATGAGGCAAAAGAATTCCGAGATTCAGGCTTTTCAATTTGATGATTCGTTAATTAAGACATTCGTGATCAGATTTTTAGATGATCAAAAGCCTGAAATCTGGATGACAAAGTCAACACATAATCTTGGTTTCCTTTTTAGACAAATTTGTATGTGATATACTGTACCATCGCTATGTAGATCTTTATTATAGTTATGTTATGGATCAATGCATTATTAATATTAATAGTTAACAGTTAATTAATTAATTAATGTCTATAACTTCGAAATTATTTTCTATTTACAAAATTATTTTTTCTGTCGTTCGATATTCGGTTGTTCAATTCGACGTCTCTTCCCTATGATTCGTAGAATTTCATCTTCATGAAGACCTTCGTTCCTTAATAATTCTATCTGGCATTCTTTATTATTTTCGGGAACTCTGTAAGAATATTTTAAAAACGTAGTTTTTCCATAATTCTCTGGTACACGGAATAATTCCTATATGACAAGTAAAATCGATAAGAAACAAAGAAACTACAATGAAAAATTATATTTATTACATTACATACAGTTTGGCGGCGCCGTTTCATGTTCCATCTGACGGCGAAAGGAACATATGTCATTACTTTTTCTTTAGTTTCATCTTCATCAACGTAGCGTTCCATAAATAAAAGTTGAGAATTTTTTGGAATTGGATTCTTATCTGTAACATAATCTCTCACCCATTTGTAATTATAATCCTTTAGGATATTGATTTAATCAATAAATAATTTAATAAGTATAAAATAAATTTTTACATTTATATAATTAAAAAAAAATTATACAAACCCCTTTACAATCATCAAATGATTTAAGATTTGATAATCTTTCAGCAGTTTCTGACGATGGAACATATAACATTAAAAATTTCTCATCACCGGACACCACTGGGTTAATCAACGCCTTACTGATTCGCTCTTGTCGATTTTTCCCACGTTCCTAATAAAAATATTAAATGTTTAATGATAATTTTAATTAAATATTCGAGTGATGATTTTATGAAAATATTAATGTATCAAACACCAACTCACCTCATCATCTTCCAAGAGAAGACCTTCCCAAGGATCACTATCAAAGCTGGCCTGTACAACTACAACGTGATTATATTCAAATTCAGGAAATATAGAAAGAATTTGTTCTGGTTTTGCTTTTGGATTTTTGGGATGTTCAAGTTTCTTAAGAAATTCCGGATCATTTACAATTCTAAAGGATTCTTCAATCTCGGCAATTTGTTCATCATGACTTTGTTCTAAATCCATCTGATTAGCTTTTAAAGTGGCCATGCTATAAAATGTTTAATAGATGAACATTTTATATCAATAATAGAAAATAAAAATAACAAAATATATCATACTGTAAATACTCACCGACTTTCCATTGTTTTATCAGTAATATCACCTCGATGTACGGTTTCAGATGCACTTATATACTGTGTCATACGCAGCCATGGTCTAGGACCATTTGAATACCTTTTCAGTCGTGCTATACCCATAATAACGTTTGCATGATCTTTGGGTGGAACCACCAAACAAGTATCTTTATGGTCAAGATGACCGATTTTTTTGGGATTTATGTCTACCAATCAACCAAAATAAAAAAAAATTTAATGTATAATTACTAATTTAAAAGTTTCTGACGAAGTTTCCGAAAATAAAGAACTTTAACTAACCATAATCTTCTCCGTAAAATGCACTAGGAATAGTACTTAAGTCGTATACCATCCCTAAATCGGGGTCACTGTGTAGAGGAAGAAGTTTTGACCGAAACGTACGCGAAGTACGATTTATATCGGTTATTCGTTCTAGATCGGGTTTCCATCTTAGATCAAATGGAGGATCAACGGGTGGAGGAATCAAATGACGAAATTTCATCCCACATATATAACTATAATCATTACGAACTGTTCTTCTCTGAACGTTATGACTTTTAAGATAGTGAAAAAAAAGTTAACTAAAGGTATAAACAATGCAAGAAAACTACTATCTTAAATGTAATTACTTTGGTCTTGCTGACATTTTGATCTAACTTCTGAACTTGAGAAAATTTTATGACATAAGAAATCACGATTGATAACAATTCATACATCACACATGTTAAAAGTTCTTTTTTGGCAATCATTAATGATTTTCAAGTGCTGAAATGGGAACCACGTGCGCACATACTGTACGTATGTTCTACGTATGTCTTACGAGCAGAGGTCTTTTTCGATTTTTAACAGCTGCCCTTACGTGTTAGGTGCGTAGAGAGTGCGTCGGGGGTGCGTCAAGTGTAACCCAGATTTACATGAGGAGAGCATCCTCCTGCATTGCGAATCCTTAGTAGAATTTCCGATTATATAATATAAATTATTAGGCCATGCAAAAAAAATTTTTCGTTTAACATTACCCGCCGACCCAAATTTAGCAAAAACTTAAAAAATTTTTTTTTTTTTTTTATAAAAACAATTTGGTTTAAAATGATAATACTAATATATATTTTAATAAATTTAATAAATCTGGCTTAAAAAAATCAACATTTGCCTAATACAAATATAAAATATATATGACCTAACTTAATAATATGATATTTAACTAGTAACTATTATAATATGAACGAATATTTAATGTATTTAATTATGAAAAAAGTTGATTTATTATAAATAGTATATTTTTAATCATTATCAAGCCGTCTATAAAACAATATAATTAATTAATATATTTATTTAATATAATTAGAATTTAATTTAAAATTTTATTTTTGTACTAACTTTTTTTTTGTTTTTGTGAATACGTGCTATAAATTTTAAGGACTTTCCACGAGTTGGTGTTTTAACACCTTTTTGTGTACATTCTGTGCATAATGGATATTGAGTAGCTGGAATTGGAGTAACAATATCAGTATCACCGCAATTAAAACATAGCAATGAAAATATTTGGGCAGAGTAATAAGCCTTTTCCATCGGAGAATTACATGTTAATCCATCATTTATAAACACCTTTTCAAATAACTGTTTAATCGTTGTTTTGTCAGCATCAAGGCTTGATAAACTTTTGGTTTCGGAATCATAATCACTTTCTTCACTATTTACTAATTTATTATTTATAGATTCACTAGAATTATTATCATTCACTTTACAATTTGCTAGTTCATTATTATCATAATTACTTTCTTCACCACTTATTAATTCATTAATTATAGATT